TTTTTTTTTTTTAACATGATTCAGGACCATATTTGTTTTGATCTGGGATGCATTATTCTCTTGTTTCGTCTAGAGGCTATAAATTTTATCCCCAGTTGTATGATGTTTCTAGGTATTTTTTTCAGTATGTATCTCCGAGAATTAGGTGGTGTAAACCGGAATACTAGTAATCCTCTTCTTTTAGAGTTGTCGAGGTATTAAATGGCTAATGATAGTAATGGAGTCTTTAGTTATCGCAATGCAATTATCGTGACTTTTGCTTTTTGGTGCATTTTGCTGTAATGTGGTCCACCGTTCATACTTAAGAACTGGGTTTGATACACACTCTGTGTGGAATTAAACTTATCTTTCATGAGAGTTAATTTTGATGTGTCAAGGAACACATGGATAATGTATTCTTAATAATCACACAAATTGCTGCTCCATCATGCTTTAGCCGTTAAGCAAGTTACACTATTGTAAATAAACTTTTATTTGATTAATTTACTCTCAACTTCATCAAATCCTTGTATAGATTAATTTTATTATGCACTTACAATAGTTGAATCCGTGTGCTCCTTTTCATTTTATGCCTATAGATTGGCTATGCACGAGGAGTCCTCGACCAGGCGAAAGGTTGATGATGATGTTCATGAAGGTGCTCTTCCTGCATATCTTCTTGATCGCGACGAGACAACCAGAGCCAAGGTCGACTTGTGTTACTTTTCTGCTCATCTCTCTTTTCACTACATTAATGAAAGTACGAGGCCTGAAAACGGCAGTATTTTTGAACACTCATTGAAATGCTTTGTTCTTCATGCAGGTTCTCAGTAACACAATAAAGCAGAAGAGGAAAGAAAAGGCAGGAAAATGGGAAGTTCCCCTACCAAAGGTATGCCCTGGAGGAATATGAACATAGGGGCCACTTAATCAAAAGTTTATATTGCCTTGTTGATACTTCTCTTCCTATTGACATTAATTATGAAATATGATCACTAGTTTGGAATGAAGTGCGCTCTTGTGAATTTCATTTAAATGATTCCAAACATTCCCGGCCTGCAAACGAGCAGGGAACTTTTTAACTACAGGATATGGATTAATGAAAATGTGAAAAATAAAAAGAATTTGGAAAACATGTTCATTATTATCCTTTCATCATATCGCTTGGTGGTTATAGCTGTATCCTTTCAGTGAACATGGGTATATTCGTCAGTATTGCCTTTCGTGTGTCACATTTCATATATTTGATTGTGTTCAATTTGCTACATTCAGTAGTTAATAGTTGTGATTGCTTATGGACTTTATAGGTCAGACCCGTTGCTGAAGAAGAGATGTTTAGAGTGATCAGATCTGGCAAAAGGAAGAGTATGTATTTTTAGACATTGTATTGTTACATGAAACTTTTCGTGTCTTACCAACAAGAAGGCCTGATAGTCATTCTTTCCGTATTTATTTGCTCTTAACAGCTAAACAGTGGAAGAGAATGATTACCAAGGCCACATTCGTTGGACCTAGTTTCACTAGGAAACCTCCGAAGTACGAGCGTTTTATTCGCCCGACTGGTTTACGTTTCACAAAAGCCCATGTGACTCACCCTGAACTTAAATGTACGTTCAATTTGGAGATCATTGGCGTGAAGAAAAATCCTAATGGCCCCATGTATACATCTCTGGGTGTTATGACCAAGGGAACCATAATTGAGGTGAACTTCCTCTTGACTTCCAGTCACCACTCATCACACTTTTGTTTATTATTTATTGAATTTTAATAATTGTCCTAATCATCTGAATTTTCTTATCTTGTGTGCTTCAGGTGAATGTTAGTGAACTCGGTCTTGTCACCCCTGCTGGGAAAGTTGTATGGGGTACGTTTTTCCTTTTAGATTTCGTAATTAGTGTGAAGTAATGATATCAAAAAGAATTTTTGTGTGAATTGGTTTCTTGTTTGGCGGTTTGCATAATGCAGGGAAATACGCGCAAGTCACGAATAATCCTGAAAATGATGGTTGCATTAATGCTGTTCTACTCGTCTAATTCGAATAAGCGCTCGTGAACTGCTAACTAGCTCCATTACTAGCTCTCTTTAGATCACTTTTGGTGTTGCTGTAATGCCATGTAATTCTATTGCCAATGGATGCAACTAGAAAATTTTTGTTGTGATTTGAGATATTACTGTTGTGGTTGATTGAGAGGTGCTTAACGGTTTTCACAGTTGGGATTCAAAATTTGGAAAGTTTATGCTCAGATTTTTGATTTTTGGCCTGAAGCCTCACTTCATCTGGGATATATTTGTTTTGTTAAGTTTTGTCCAGATAAGTGTTGTTACTTGTTGAAATTTTGAGGGTATCTTTGCTGTGTATGACAAATGAAGGCGTTTAATTGGTTTGAAAATAATTTGATGTACATGATCTTCTGTTATTTAATATCTTCGAGGAGAATATGGATTAGGAACTGAACATTGTACCTTACAGTTGAGCTTGGACTTTGACAAGGTGTGCTTCCTTTGTTAATTTTGATTTGATGTTGTGTCATTTTAGTGGATTCATATGGAAAATTGGATCCTGCGGGTAAAGGTAATGCCCTCACTGAGGTTTTTTTTTACTGTTGGATCACACATTCAAATATACACCTTCATAGGTGTGTGTTGATCCAACGGTAGAAAACCATTGAGGGTAAGGGTAATGCCCTCACTGAGGTTTTCTTTTACTGTTGGATCACACACTCAATTATACACCTTCATAGGTGTGTGTTGATCCAACGGTAGAAAACCATTGAGGGCATTGGATCGAGTTTTTACGGCTCTATACGTTGTAGAAAGGATTTGAGCTTGAGCTTTGAGACAGTGTACTTCGCAAATTTAGTGGCGTAATTGTAAACTGTGAGTGTACCGCAAAACATGAATTGATGCCTTTGGAAATTTGTGATCAGGTTTTGATAGTAATAAAAAATAAATATTGAGACTTAAGAACTAAGTTTTTTTTTTTTGCTAGATCCTTAATTTGCCAAAATCCAGAGTGTTCCATGTGACAGAAATCTTTTAATGTACGCCTATATAGACATCTCTCTATTACGAGCATGCTCGACGCTTTATGTCCTGTGAAAAGGGTGTTTGGTGTGTAGTTTCTGAGAATAGGCTAACTGAAAAAATGCAATTTATTTTTGTTTTTTTGGGTTTACTGTACATTATATCTTGATGTTGAGAAGTTTGAAGAGAATCATCTACGTGGTTAATATTTTTTTTACTAATCTGATGCATTTCAAGTTGTTTACCTTTCCCATGTATCAGTTTTCATTTTGATTGTCACAGTAAAATTTACTGTTGGAAAGTCGTCAATATACTGCTTGCTTTAGAAAGTAGATGTCTTTGTTTTCTGAATTCCTGATTTGAGTTCTTATGTTTTGTTTTTTTTTTTCAGCCATCCGCTCGGACACTCCTGAAAAAGCCTAGATATTGACCGACAGCAAATGTTCGCCAGACATTGTTATCCTTTGTCTTTTGCCTTCCTTTCAAACTGTACGTGGGTTTTTTGTAATTCCCTAGTGACTTCGACTATGCTTGTTATGTTATAATAATTGGAATGCTTCGACTTAATTTTACTCTATGCTATTGCCATTCTATCTGGTAATGGTATTTCTTTGGACAGAGCAACATAAATGTTTATGTTAGTTATTTTAGCTGCTGGGTTTTGATCTAAATAGCTTTTGGCCCAATTTTATCCAATCTGGCCAAGCCATCAAATCACACACACAGTTGTGTGGGTTTGTATTGATCAGACGGCTCGGAACCAGCGTTAGGGTGAAAATTTACCGAGCATTCGATTACTAGGCAATTATTGGACAAGTGGTTGGCTTCTTTGTCACTACTTATTCCATTTAATTGTTCTACTTTCTTGGTATACTTTCGTGGACATATTTGACTTACCATGAAGTTTGCTCTAAGAGAACAGGGAAAAGCTAATCAGTTAGATTATCCTAATAGCATCATTTGTGCTCCATAATTATTCATGTGGACAATGTTCGAGTATAGAAGGGAATTATGAAAGTCGGATTTTACAGCTATATGAAATGAAACTCGGAATTATGAAAGTCGGATTTTACAGCTATATGAAATGAAACTCGATACTCGAACATTGCCATTGTATCTACTATTTCATTTTGTTTTGCATCTTTTAGACAGAGTAATATAACGTGTGTGACACATTTAATCTGTTTCATTAGAAGAAAATTCAAGGTTTAGGGGACAAATGTCCTTCTGAAATTTACTCTTTTATGTTTGCTGTTGCAAATTATCAAGTTTAGAATATTTGCAGTTATAATATTTGCATCTTTTATAGAGCTATATTATTAAACTTTAAAAGTGAATATTACAAATATCTCTTGATATAACTCTGTGAATAACAATACAATTTATAAGACATGTTTTCTTCGGTTAACAAAGGATTATGAGTTGTGAATCAATAGAACTATCATTCCTCTAGTGTCATAATTCAAACCTTAATACATGCAATTTTGAGCTTATTGAAAGCTACTCATGTTATTGCATATCTATTATTAAAATTATCTCCTTAATCTTATTAGTGACAATGTAAGACTGTACCTAATTCAATATATTGAGTCTTTTAACGTTTTTCGAGTTAAAAGCGATGATCCGATATGAGTTAAAAGCGATACCAAATATATA